TTGTAAAATAACTCTTGTGTTGTGTGTCATTATAAAACGGAGATGGAGTGTGGTTTTCTGGAACTGTTTAACTGATGGGTTCCATTCAGAATGGAAAGTCACAGAAGCTCAAAGTCTTTTAGAGAGGGAAGGGAAAAGAGAATTGTAAAAAACTGAGAAGCGATATGCCTGATGCTGGGGAATAAAGATGAGCACAATAGAGGTTTAGTTTAGCTAATGCAGAGTCATAGTACGTAAGTGAAAGAACAAGGTTTTGTTTTGGGCTCTGGGTAAAGAGTGGAGTAATTACATTTTAGGAGGTATTTATGGGAGGTTGTACAGGAGATATACTTAATTGAAGAAGCTAAATGTCTTTTGAATTTCTAATAGTACTATGTGCAATATCTTTCTGGCTATGTAGGTAATTCACCATTCAAACAGAAATCCAGGTCAAGGAAAACCAGAAATTGAATAAGTTGGCAAATTCTAGAATGTATGTTCTTAGTTGGATAGTGTTCCTCTCTTTCTGTAAATTCAAGTGTAGTGACATCTACTGTTCACTACTAAATGAGCCCCAGAGGATATATGATCCTGCAAATTTTTGTACATCATAGTTTGGAACTAGAGATCATTATGTTACATAAAATAAGCCAAACCCAGAAATACAAATATCACATTTTCTTTTATTTGTGAAAGTTAATATATGCAGTGTATAGGAAGGGAATCTCTTAGAAAATACAAAAAGTGAAAATGATGAAAAGGAGGAAAAACATGGAGAGAAAAGGAATCGATGGGGAGAAGTAGATGGAGGTTAATAATGATGTGTCTTAGAAAATCATTCTGAACCAGAGCCTTATTTTCCTTTATTCAGTTGATAAAAGCTGATTTCAAAGAGGGATTACTGAATTTTTGGTGAATTTTATGTCTTTTAAGGGAATTAGGAAGCACACATTGTAGTAGGATATAAATTATTAATGTATTTGCTTCAACAAAGTTAACAACTTGCCTTTTGTGTTCAAACAGAGCTGGAATGTCCTGAAATTTTTCAAAGGTTCAATCCCAATTTTGAAAGAATTTAAACTCAAGGTGGGTAAAGGAAACTCATTTAGATAACAGTTGGAATATCATATGAAATAACACATTGAAAATATCAAATACAGAAGCAAAGTTTCATATTCAGTAGAGACTTAGTGGCTGAAAGGAATCCACCTGATATAAATTAGTTCCTTTTCAACATTTTTGATATAAGATGATTTTATATAATTGATCTAATTACTATCAATTGAGATGAAAGTATGAAATTTTTGAAAAGATTTATTTATTTGAAAGAGAGAGTTACAGAGAGAGGTAGAGACAGAGAGAGAGGTCTTCCATCTGCTGGTTCACTCCCCAGGTGGTCTCAATGGCCGGAGCTGCGCCAATATGAAGCCAGGAACCAGGAGCTTCCTACGGATCTCCCAAAGACTTGGGCCATCCTCCACTGCCTTCCCAGGCCACAGCAGAGAGCTGGATCTGGAAGAGGAGCAGGTGGGACTAGAACCAGCACCCATATGGGATGCTGGCACTTCAGGCTAGGGCTTTAACCTGCTGCGCCATAGCGCTGGCCCCAAGTATGAATTTTTTTAAAAAATATCATTGAAGGGTGTACAAAAATGTGTTGGTACATCGTATCTATTGGAAAGAAATAACCAAACTAGATTGAAAAGCAACTAGGTATAATTTAGTTACTTAAAACAAACAAATTTTCATTCAAAAGGACCATTTATTATTATAAATCATATTCACAATGATATAGACTAAATAAGCATTTGAGTTTCATGCTAGTTTTTGCAGTAGTGTTAATGATGGTCTTGGTGCTGGTGGTGCTAGTGATTAAGTCAGTGCTAAAAGTGGAAGGAAGCACAGATATAAAGAAGATAGATATTCTAGAAGTGAGTTGAAGCAAAGGAAATACTGGCTTTTTTTAAGATTTATTTATTTATTTGAAATAGTTACAGAGAGGAGGGAGGGAGAAAAATCTTCTGTCTGCTAGTTCACTCCCCAAATGACCACAATGGCCAGGATCCATAGGAGATGCTGGTATGGTATGTGGCATCTCAACCCACTACATCACAATGCTGGTCCTAGAAGGCTGGTTTTATGTGTATAAATGAACGTATAACACAAATATTGTATGTCTAAAAGAAGCACATTGTGTATTGCTGTAGGTCAGAGTTTTACATTATGGAAGTTTTACATTACATTATTTTTGTCTTAATGTGATGGGGAGCATTGTGTTGTGTGATTGAGCGTGGGTAGCATTTGTGGTGTGGCTGTCCAGCAGACAGGACACCTCAGCGTATGATGCTCTATGACTTTCTTCTTCTTGCCCCCAGCTTCAGTGATGATTAACATGGACAAATGAAACAACTATAAATCTCATCTTGTCATTAGTGTTCTAAGTCCCTAAGAAGATGGCCTCCTTATTAGGTGTTGTAAATTGCTGCTTATGATTCTTGCTTATCTAAAAAGGTTTGAATTTACTACACTTTTTACTAGTCAGACTATGAGCAGGCTATACATTCATCCACGAAAGTGGGAATAGAACACGGAACAGCAGTGGATGAAAAAACATAAATTGTGATTTGTCTGGAATGTTCTCTTCATATATATATTCCATATATAAAAGACAATTTTATTTAATTGTCCATTTTACATTTATATATTTTAACACGGTACAGAAGTTCTAGTTTTGGCTATGAGAAAAAGAAAAATAATAGTAATGGCCTTTTGTCTTAATCCTCCCTGTTTCTATCTCTTTTCCTATGAAGAAATCCTTCATTAATTTTTGCTTAATTTTTTGTGATTTGTTTTGTTGGTTTTACTTTTAATTAATTTGTATATAATATCACTTTACAAACACCTTGTGATTTAATTTCATGTTCTTCTAAATACAAGTGGGCCAGTTATATTACCTCCCTTCCTATTCCATTCCCCACTCTAAAAGGCAGTTGCATCAGTATTTCTTGTTTCTGCATGGAAAATCCCATTTTAAGCAAAATACTTAAATCTAAATGAGCTCAACCACCAAAATTAATAACTGTTCCAACTTTCTTTGTAGGACAAAGACATAAGGTAATAATTTTTTTCCAATTATGCCATTTTAAACACATTTGATAAGGAATTGGAATTTATTGATTAGTAATATTTTATACCTGCATCTGAAATGAATATGAAAATATATTAAACAAAATTTGTAAACCTTCAAATTTTAAATATTTTTATCATTGAAAGAAATAATATATATAATATATATTTTGAAATAGTCATATTTTCAATTTTTAAAGAAATTATTGATGCTTGGTTCTATTCTAGAAAAAACTAATAAGCAAATTCAATATTCACTTTATTCACTTTAATAATTTCATAACTCATAATTTAATGAATATCTTTCTTTGAAAACCTCAACAAATTTGAAAAGAAATAAAGGAAACAACCTAGAAAACGTAACTGAAAGAATGAATGACATCATGTGAAATTCTTTAAAAAATGACTTGAGGTTTGTATAGGCTATCAAAATATCCTATGCTCTCCTTCTGCAGATAGAAGTGCTAGTAAAGAGGCTCATGTTTCCAGATGCCTGAATATTTCTGGGTACTGTGATGTTGTAAAACAAGGTGTAGGGCCGTCACTGAGATTTTCTGCAAAGATGACATAATAAAAGTAGATGTGAACATTATTAAATGAAGTTACCAAGAAATAAAAAGAATTCTGAGAATAAAATTTTTCTAAGCATTGGATAATGGGTAGTAAATCAGAGTTAGATCCAAGGGACAAATTCTTTGTGTTACGTAGCACACTGGGATGACTGTAGTTAACAATTACTTTTATGTATTTTATGAGCAAATAGAAGAAAGTTGCTCCAGGCCGGTGCCGTGGCTCACTAGGCTAATCCTCCGCCTGCGGTGCCGGCACACCAGGTTCTAGTCCCGGTCGGGGCTCCGGATTCTGTCCCGGTTGCCCCTCTTTCAGGCCAGCTCTCTGCTGTGGCCAGGGAGTGCAGTGGAGATGGCCCAAGTGCTTGGGCCCTGCACCCCGTGGGAGACCAGGAGAGGCGCCTGGCTCCTGGCTTCGGATCAGCGTGGTGCGCCGGCCGCAGCACGCCAGCCGTGGCGGCCATTGGAGGTTGAACCAATGGCAAAGGAAGACCTTTCTCTCTGTCTCTCTCTCTCACTGTCCACTCTGCCTGTCAAAAAAAAAAAAAAAAGTTGCTCCAAGGCTTCAACCATAAAATAAGGTCAAAGAAGTGGAAATGTCAGGATCAGAGCTGTGGAACAGTAGGTTAATACTCTGCCTACAGTGCTAGCATCCCATGTGGGTGCCAGTTCTAGTCTCAGCTTCTCCTTTTCCCATCCAGCTCTCTGCTGATTGCCTAGGAAAGCAGAAAACGGCCCAAGTGCTTTGGCCCCTGCACCCACATGGGAGACCTGGAAGGGGCTCCTGGCTCCTGGCTTCAGATTGGCCCAGTTCCGGCCATTGTGGCTATTTAGGGAGTGAACCAGCAGATGGAAGATTACTCTCTCCTTTCACTGTCTGTAACTCTGTCAAATAAATAAATTAAAACCTTAAAAAAAAAAAACAGGAAATGTTAACTACCTTGACTGATACACCATTTATACATGTATTGTAATGCTGCATTGTAGTCCATAAATATGTCTTAGTATACTTTTTAAAAAATACAATTATTTTATATAAAAAAAGAAAATTATGTCCTTAATTTTAGTTCCACTTGTTGTAAGCCAAAGAACTGCTAGATCTTGTGTTTTAACAGTTATTCATTGATTTGACTCCAGATTATTATTCAAAGATGTTTAGAAACCGTCTAAGGATCAATAACCTGATTTAAAAACACCTAGGACTAACAGTGCTCTAGAGTTTTATATATATATATATATACTATCTCCTTCTAACTTAAAAATGTGATGTTTTTTCTCCATAGGAAAATTTGAAAACTGATTTGGGTTGGATTCCATGAAATATCTATGAGGCTTACCAACAGTAGTTGGTTTCAGCCACCTATGTTTCTGCTAACAGGGATCCCTGGACTGCAGGCTGTACAAATATGGATCTCTATTCCACTGTGTGTCATGTACCTAATTGCTCTCCTGGGGAACAGCACCATTGTCTTCATTATCAAAACCACCACCAGCCTTCATGAGCCTCAATACATATTCCTGTCTATGCTGGCGGCTACCGATGTGGGTCTGTCTTTGTCAACTATGCCTACAGTACTCAATGTCTTCCTCCTGAATCACAGGGAGATTGAGTTCCATTCTTGTCTGGCACAAATGTTCTTCATCCATACCTTTTCTTCCATGGAGTCAGCCATCTTGCTTGCCATGGCCTTTGACCGGTTTGTGGCTATTCATAACCCATTGCACTACACTGTGATTTTAACGCCTCCTCGGATTATTGGGATGGGGCTTGCAGCTGTGCTCAGGGGTGTGTTTTTGATGGTACCCTTACCAATCCTGCTCAAGCGTTTGCCCTTTTGCAAAGATGTTATTCTATCCCACTGTTATTGCTACCACCCTGATGTCATGAAACTGGCCTGTGGCTCTGTTAGAGTCAACATTATTTATGGATTGTCCCTTGTCCTTTGCTCCTTTGGAATTGACTCTGTGTTCATTCTCATTTCATATATCTTGATTTTGAGAACAGTCCTGGGGATTGTCTCAGAGAATGATCAGCTCAAAGCACTAAACACTTGTGTTTCTCACATCTTCACTGTCATCATCTTTTATGTGCCTCTCATTGTGCTGGCCCTAATTCATAGGTTTGGTACATTCACATCCCCTCTTCTCCATGTCACTATGGCCAATCTCTTTCTCTTCCTGACTCCTGTCCTTAACCCACTGGTATATAGCCTAAAAACCAAGGAGATAAGGTCATCAGTAAATAAGATATTCAAGGGCAGAGGAAATTTGCTCACCTAGACAGATATGGCCTTAGTGAAAAGACATCCTGATTTCCTTCTCCCCTTTCCTCTGTTCGCTTCTCTCTGGAAGATGCCATTACTTCAAGTAGGAAGAACGAAGAAAGGAGATATTCTCTTATGGAAAGAAGATGATGATTTTTGATTATTGTTTCAGAAGAAAATCACCAAATGTGTAAATTTACCACATTTAGAGTATATTTAGAGATTAGTGTGGGATATGTGAGGGGTCTTTAAAACATTCATGTTAAATTTATATTATGAAAAAATATGAATGGATTTCTAAACTATTTTTAAAAATTTATTCATTTACTTGAGTGGCATGGTTACAGACAGAGAGAGGGAAAGACAGAAAGACAAGTCTTCCATCCGCTGGCTCACTCCCCAAATGGCCACAACAGCAGGAGCTGATCCACCCAATGTCAGGAGCCAGGAGCTTCCTCCAGGTCTCCCACATGGATGTAGGGGCCCAAGCACTGGACCATTCTCTACTACCCTCACAGGCCCATCGGCAGGGAGCCGGATCTGAAGTAGAGCAGCAGGGACTCAAACTTGCTCCAACATGGGATATCAGAGCCACAGGCATATGTATACTCAACTTAATATGCTACATTGCCAGCACCAGATTTTTAAATATTTTTACACCACAATAAATTTATCTTTTAATTTTATTTTCCACCAACTTTTAGAAGTATGCTTATACATATTTTTGTTTTATTTTTAAAAGTAACATGAGTTATGCAAATTGTAGTACAAAGCAGTTACTGATCATCTTCTGGAAAATAGCAATGAAATCCAGATTATCTGACATAAAGGAAAAAATTATCTCATTCTTATATATTTTAAAGTATCAAAAAAAGGAATTTTCCACTAACACAACAGACATATCAGAAGATTAGGAAAGGTATGCTGTATTGTTTTCATGTTCATTAGATGTTAGAAATTGCAAGTTGAGGGCATGGGCTTTTGGCATAGTAGTTAAGATGTCCATATAGAATATCAGAGTACCTGGATTCAGTTCTGAGTTCCAGGTACTGACTCCAGCTCCGTGCTACTGTGCGAAGAAAGCAGTGGTAGATGGCCCAAGTTATTGGGCCCTAGTTCTCACCTGGAAGAAGCTTCTGGTTCTTGTCTTCAGTTTGTCCCAAATACAAGACTATTTGGGGAATGAACCAATCAATAAAAGATGCCTCTCTCTCTCTCTCTCTGTCTCTCTCTCTCTCTCTCTCTTCTCTCTCTTTCTTTAACTGTGCCTTTCAAATAAATACAATAAATCTTCAAAAAAAGAAAAAGAAACGTATTTTTCATAATGATGAAACTAAAGAAATGTGACAACGTCATGGAATATCTGATCCTAGCATGAACTTAGTTGATAAGGAAAAGCTCTTGAATATTACAGAGAGATGAACATGAGGCACAATGGTTAGGACTGGGCAAGCCTGAGTCCCATAATGGAGTGCCTGGGTTTGAGTCCTGATTCCACTTCCAATTCCAGCTTCCTGGTGATCCACAGCCTGGGAGGCAGCAGATGTGTCTTAAATTCTTGGGTCCCTTTCACCCACATGGGAGACACAGATTGAGATCTAGGCTCTTGGATTCAGTCTGGCTCCATGCCAGCTGTTGCAAGCATTTGAGGATGGAAACAGCAAATGAAAGTTCTCTACTTCTCACATAAAATATTTTTTAAATTATTATTTGATCAACTGATAACATTGGAATACAGATGAGAAATTAGATTTAAAATATTAGCAATGTTGAATTCATGGAAGGTTGATATATTTACTGAGATTGTGTATGAGAACATTTTTATTCTTAGGAAAAAACACTTGATGTTAGAGATAAATATCATGATGTATGCAATCTAACTCAAATAATTGAGAAAAAAATTGTATGAGATTAGGAAGGTTACCAGTGAAAGACAGCATGCACACATGCTGTAAAGCAAGTGTACATTTTAAAACAATTGGAGCAAAATTTTCACAGGCAAATCATGGTAAATTCTGTATGAGTGCTCTGCATACTACTCTTGTTTTTGTATGTTTTTGTAAGTTTTAAATCATTTCCAAATATTTTTTAAGTCCAACTACCCATTGTCCAACAATAAGTATAGCATCATAAATGTAGTTGAAACACCCAGTGTATCCCTACTCTTCCTAGAGATATACAGTACCCTGTTTGGTATTTATTAGTCACACACACACACACACACACACACATCTTTGTACATTGACTTCAAACTTAAGCAATGTGTTTATAGTAACAATTATCCCAAGTGTAATATTGAGTGAGGAAATGAGGCATATAATGTTTAAATAGTATAATAGAAATTAGTTGATGTCTAAAAGATTCCAGCATCCAAAATCAGAGCCCTGATTAAAGTCCTGCCTGCTCTGCTTCCAATGCAGCCCCCCGTTAATGCTGCTTGGGAAGGAAGCAATGATGTTCTGAATACTTGGAACCCTGCTACCCATGTTGGAGAGCTGGATGGAATTCCAAACTCTTGGCTTTGTCCTGACTTAGCCCTGGTCCTTGAAGTTATCTGAGGAGTGAACCAGCAGGTAGAAGATCTCTCCCCCAGCCGTGTGTGTGTGTGTGTGTGTCCCTTTCCCTTTGTAACTCTGCCTTTCAAATAAGAATAAAATGTGTCTTAAAATCACACACACATATGTGCAGATATTAAAGTCCTGGGAAAGGCATATGGAAAAAGTGTTTTCCAGAGTGGAGCAGACTGGACCCAACCCTGGCTCATTGTAGGTGGAGTCTTAATACACTGCACAACATTGACCTCTCCATATCTCTAATTCAATGACACAATTAGGCTATGTCTTCTCCATTTGAAGACCATAGTGTACACTTAGAAGTCAGAGATCAGTCTGACTGGAGAAGAGTTTATTTTTGCCCAGTGGATGTTCATGTAGTCTGCAGATACATTGAGGACACATTCTAGCATAAAATACATTAAGAAAGGAGAAGATGGACATGTGAAAAGAAGGGATGGTGCATTTACATAAGAAAGCATAGAGAAGATAATCCTCAGTGAACTAAGTGTCAAAAAGTGGTGTCTCTTGATTTCTCTTTTTTCTTCATTCACGAGGAAACAAATTCCACAATGAGGGATATTTGTTTTCTCTTGTTTATACATTCCTAGCATCTGTATCTGCATCTGGCACATTGTAGGTGGAAATTACACATTTTCCAAATATAACAAATGTACTCATCTCTGCCAAACTGCTAGTCTCCCTTCTTCTTTTTTTCCCTCTTTCTTTTTCTGACAATGCTTTCAAAAAGTTAATTATACAAGGGTAACCTATAAAATTACTTTAGATTTGAGGAGTAAGTGCACAGTGACTCCTGTTGTTGACTTAACAAATTGACACTCTGGTTTATGGCATCAATAATCACCCTAGGCTCTTGTCATGAGTTGCAAAGGCTATGGAAGCCCCCTGAGTTCACTGACTCTGATCATAGATTTGAGTTGAGTCTCTTGTGGTAGATATAAAATAGTAGTTGCGATATAGAACATATCATGACAGATATAAGGTAAGAGTTCATATGGAATTCATAATATAGAAAATTCAGCTAGACTGTAGGAGTCAAGAAAGAGTCACTGGCGGGGCTGAGGTGAAATAACGAGTGAAAATCAACACACAGAAATTAGCCAAGGGAAGGTGGATTGTGTATCAGGCAAAGTTAATAACATGTACTACAACATGGTAGGTCAGTGCATTTTGTTAGAAGATATATAAATAATAGAGTATGATAACAGAATATATTCTGCGGTAAGGTTGGCAATGGAATGGCTAACAGAAACTTAACCATGGTTTTATATTAAATTAATTAAAACATTATTTGTATATTGATTAATTAAGCTTAGTAGTCTATTAGGCAATGCTGTATTCTTCAGAGCATTGAAATGCTTTCCTTGAGACAGGAAAACAGTTCTCTAGCAAGTACATTTTGGGTATGCTTTAATTCACTTCAATTCCGACACTCTTTACTTGGACATAGCAGCAAATCCCATGGGTTAAAGGCTCAGTACCAGAAGATTGCCTTCTCTTAGGGTCATTTGGCCAACAGAGAAATTGTATTCTTTGAAATTTTGGATGTATGCAAATATTTAACATCATCAATCTAATTCCTTTTTTAATAAAGATTTATTTCATCTGTTTGAAAGACAGAGTTATAGAGAGAGGTAGAGACAGAGAGGGAGAGAGGTCTTCTATCAGCTGGTTCACTCCCCAAGAGACCACCACAACAGCCAAAGCTGAGCTGATCCAAGTCCAGGAGCCAGGAGCCTCCTCTGGGTCTCCCAATCAGGTGCAGGAGCCCAAGGACTTGGATCTTTCACTGTCTTCCCAGGCCACAGCAGAGATATGGATTAGAAATAGAGCAACCACATGGGATGCTGGCACTGCAGGCAGTGGCTCCACCTGCTAAGCCACAGCGCTGGCCCCATCAATCTAATTATTAAAAGATGAGAAAGAACATTACCAATGAATCATAAAAAGTGTGTATAAGGTACTGGGAGCAGCAAGTATAACAAAGTTTGGAGCATTCCCTGTTCAGAGAACTAAATATTGTTTAGTAAGATGGGCTTATAGAAGAAAAGATAGATGAGATCATGGAGAACTGTACACAGCATATGCATTAGTTTAAATTTATCATATAAAGATAAATTCTACTGCAAAAACTAAAAACTAAAATTCAAAAATGACCTCATACATTTTACAAAGCAAATGCAGAAATGTAAACAATAATTTTATCATAAGGTAAAATTAGAAGAAGAAAACTTGACTATTATGATAATGAAGGAAACTATAAATCATTGAATTAAGGAAAGACTATATAAATATTTAATATGTATTCAAAAGGTGAAACATTTAATATGTATTTAATTAATTATTTAAATACATTTAATATGTTTTCAAGAGGTGACTACACATTTATATTATTCAAGAGGTGAAAGTGAATGTAATTAATGAAAGTTATAGGTGGAAAAAT